GGTACGGATCTCCACGGGGAGGTTGTTCCATAATGTCGGAGCTGCAACTGAGAAGGCTCTCCTCCGCGTAAATAAAAATGAATAAAATAAAATAAAAGATGGCAAGGGAGATAAAGTGAGGGATCTCTCTCTCCCTTACCAAAGACCTCCCTTACCAAAGATCCTGATCCTCCTAGCTTCTAAACAACAGTAGAGTAGGGGACCATCCACATCTTGGAGGACTCTTGCTCCAGAGGGCAGGTGCTGCAACAGAGAACGATGTATTCACCGTTGTGATGGGGAAATACGAGACACTGATTTTTACATCCATAAAAGAGCAATATTGAAACCTGACTGCGAATCTCTAGGGATTCCCTTATGTACAGTATATAATGTCTTCTGTGTGTAATGGTTCTCTGCATGGTGTTAAAAGCACTTTGGCCAGATTACAAAATACAATTATTCTATTCACTGCCAGTGAGACAATTAGCCATTGCAATTTCCCAAAGGGTCGCCATTTTCTTTTGCAGGGAAAAAACAACTCTTTACAAAATAATACATTTATTAATGTATATTACTGTCCGCTAATCCAACACCTACAACAAATAGACTGAATGCATCTCGCTTCTTAGATGAGTGTCCCATTAAAGGGTATTTGATAGAGAAAGCCTGATTACTGTGTATAGGACAGAAACAATCAACAGCGGGGAAAAGAATAAAAACTCAGAGAATTAGGCAGCAATTCAGACCTGCTACTTTTAACGTGCACGGAGAAATTCAACGGGAGATTAAACCATGCTTGAGAAATAATATAAGCAGGGGGTAAAGACTGTTATTAAATCAAGCAGTTGTACTTTATTGAATCCCTTTATCCAAAGCAGCTGAATCAACTTTGTCAGTGGATTCCTAAGGGGCCTTTTGCAGTCTTGCTGCCTTACATCCTTCAACGGGAGATCCTTACAAACCAGGCCAAAAACATTTCCATACAAGAACCTGTACTCTACTGCTGGAGTTCATTCTCTAGTGGCTGAAGTTTCTTTGTCAAAGTTGCCTTATCTCAAAACAGGACGGGACAACTCGCCGTGGCCAACTTGGCACAGGACCACGCGTGGGACAATTCAATAATTCATTTAATTATTTAAAATAATGTAAAAAAATCATTTTGGTTTTTATTTTGCCCCTCCTTTTGCAGGCTTTTTTTAAAAAATGATTCTGTTTCTTCAATATTAGTGTAAATCTTGTTCCGCAGCGAGTTGGCCGTGGCAAGTTGTCCTGCGGCAAATTGGCCGCAGTGAATTGGCTGCAGCAAGTTGTCCTAAACCCAGGACCAAGCCATGCTCCGTGCTAAACCCTGTCCTTGTGTTGACCCATAAACCAGAGGAAAACTGGAAAATCAACAGGGCTGTTTCTATCAGTGCTGTAGAAATTGGAATTCCGGGTGGGGGGGCGTGCTGGAAGTTCGCATGGGTTTGGGCGATCCTCTAGCTAGGATTCTCCCCAGTTGGCAAACCCCCAAATGCCACCCCTGGCTGGCCCTGCCCAGCCCTCCCCTCCCAGGAGTCTCCATGTGGCCTGTTCATCATGCCCCAGGTAAGGGCAGGGCCCATGCAGAATCTTGGGGAGGGGGGAAAACGGGCCTACCGGATGTTCCAGAAGTCTGGAAACAGGCCGGTTTCCAGCCTCTGGAGCCCGGGTGAAGCATTTTCGCCTCCACAGAGGCTCAAGCAAAGCTTCCGGAGCATGAGGAGGGTGAAAAAAGCCCCCCCCACTGTGGTGCAGGAGGCCGACTAGACCACACCCACCATGGGACACGCACACCCAGCAATGAGGCAGCGAACCCATTGCTGCAATTTTTGAAGCCCACCCCTGTTGGAATCTTGTGAATAAAGAGGCTTGAAATAACTGATAAAGGCAAATACTCCTTGGAGGTGAGGAAGGTGGCTTGTTCCTAGATTACCCTAACCCTGGGCTCCATTTTTGCTGGCAGAGGGCTGCAGGAAGCGGTTGAGGTCAAAAATAGGGCCTGAGGGGCTTTGCATGCCCCTTCAGCTCTGTTTTCACTGGCAGAGGGCTAGCAAAACAAACTAAAAATAAAACAAAAGGAGAAATGTTTCCCTTTTTGCATTTGAACATGCATAAGGTGACCAGACGTCCTGATTTTGGTGGGACAGTCCCTCTTTTGAACAATTTGTCCCGCGTCCCACAGTGTTTTTAAAAAGTCCCGATTTTTTTTTTAAGCACGAAAGGAAAAATCTGCAAAAATTCACGGGGAGCCCCGGGGATTGTTCCTTGCAAAGCATCATGGTTGCAGAGAATGCAAATGAAGGTGCTTATCTCCCCGCCCGGCTCCGTGTGCTTGTATTCAAATCGGAGCCACGCTGAGTCCCATTCAGANGGGAAAGAAGAAAGAGGCAAGGAGAGGAGGATGGAAGGGAGAGGAATAGAAGGAGAGAAGGTAGGAAGGGGAAGAGGAGGAGCAAGAGAAAGGCAAGGGAAGAAGGAAGGGGAAGGAGAGGAAGAAGGAAGAAAGTAGAGAAGGGAGGGAGGGAGAAAAGAAAGGGAAAATGAGGTGGTGTTACAACAGAAGGGGTGGTAAATAAAGCAACCCAAATTGTATATTATAACCTATTAAATGAAATAATAAATGTATAAGAATGATAAATGTATAGAAGAATAACAACTATGCGAATGTATACTTAAAATGCTATGTAAGAGAATAAAAAAATAAAAAAAACTTTCTAAAAAAAATACACTGTATGCTTTTTCTGACCAAGGCTTGCTCAAACATGGTCATACAGAAAAGAGCTAGAAGGGATCTTGGAGGTCCTCTAGACCAACCACTTGCTCAAGCAAGAGACCCTTCAGAGCTGAAGAAGCTTCCTGGATGAGAAGCAAAACGTCTTCAAAGAAAAAGCAGAAAGTCCAGTTGCCTTCTGAAAAAAAAACCTTTGGGATTATGGCTTGGATGACTGAGAGTCTCCATAGACAAGAGAGCCTATACCATTTCAGACAAGTGGTTGTCCTGTCTCTTCTTAAAAGCCTCCAATGATGAAGAACACAAAACTTCTGAAGGCAAATTGTTCTCACTGGTTGACTGTTCTCACTGTTAGGACATTTCTTCTTAATTCTAAGATGCTTCTCTCCTTGATTAGTTTCTATCCATTGCTTTTTGTCCTGCCTTCAGGTGCTTTGGAAAATAAGTTCACTCGCTCTTCTTTGTGCCAACCCCTGAGATATTGGAACTCTGCTATCATGTCACTCCTAGTCTTTCTTTTCTCTAGACTAGCTATATTCAATTTCTGCAATTGTTCTTTATACGTTTAAATTTGCAGACCCTTAAATCATCTTAGCTGCTGTTTTCTGCACTTTTCCCAGCGTCTCAACATCTTTTTTTATAATGTGGTGACCCAAAGAGGATGCTAATCAAGTTTTGATGGTTCCCTCTCTTCGTTGTGGCCTAGTGCAGTGTTTCTCAACCGTAGCATCTTCAAAATACGTGGATGTCCACTTCTCAAATTCTGAGAGTGGAAGTCCACTTATCTTTAAACCGCCAAGGTTGTTGTCACAGAGCCGTTTTTGCAACGGCGTGTTGTAAGAAGCAAAAAAAATATATGTAACTTTTGTTGGGTTAATTTCTTTTCTGTCGTAATTGCTGAGCTCACACAAAGTGATAAGCCTGTTTGGTAATGAACAAGGTGACAGAGTCTGTCATCTTTGTCCTGCCACACTTTCTATTATTTTATTATGTATTTTTGGTTGTGGCTACATAGTATGTAACTCCTTACAATCCCCCCTCCCATTTTCTCACAATAGAAAATACACAGTAGAAGAATAGAAAGTGTGGCAGGCCAAAGATTCGAAAGAAAAGATGGCTGCAGGCCTGACGCAATGTTCTATTTTTGCATGCCCCCCAAACAC